TTCGTCTATTTGCATAAAAGGGATGTTTCTCTATTTGCATAAATGGGATGTTTGGCTAATTGCATAGAAGAGGTGTTACCCTATTTGCATATATATGGTGTGTGTCTATTTGCATAAATGGGATCTTTGTCTTTTTGCATAAATGGGATGTTTGGCTAATTGCATAAAAGGGTTGTTTTCCTAATTGCATATATGAGGTGTTTGTCTATTTGCATAAATGAGGTGTTTGTCTATTTGCATAAAAGGGATGTTTCTCTATTTGCATAAATGGGATGTGTGTCTATTTGCATAAATGGGATGTTTGTCTATTTGCATAAATGGGATGTGTGTCTATTTGCATAAATGGGATGTTTGTCTATTTGCATAAATGGGATGTTTGGCTAATTGCATAAAAGAGGTGTTACCCTATTTGCATATATGAGGTGTTTGTCTATTTGCATAAAAGGGATGTTTCTCTATTTGCATAAATGGGATGTTGGTCTATTTGCATAAATGGGATGTTTGGCTAATTGCATAAAAGGGATGTTTGGCTAATTGCATAAAAGGGGTGTTACCCTATTTGCATAAAAAGGGTGTTTTGCTAATTGCATAAAAGGGGTGTTTTCCTAATTGCATATATGAGGTGTTTGTATATTTGCATAAATGGGATGTTTGGCTAATTGCATAAAAGGGGTGTTACCCTATTTGCATAGAAAAGATTGTTTTGCTAATTGCATAAATGTGGTGTTTGTCTATTTGCATAAATGAAGTGTTTTTCTAATTGAATAAATAAGGTGTTTTGCTAATTGCATAAATGTGGTGTTTTCCTAATTGCATAAAAGGGATGTTTTCCTAATTGCATAAAATGGGTGTTTTCCTAATTGCATAAGTGGGGTGTTTCCCTATTGCATAAAAGGGGTATTTTCCTAATTGCATAAAAGGGGTGTTTTCCTAATTGCATAAAAGTGATGTTTTCCTAATTGCATAAGTGGGTGTTTCCCTATTTGCATAAAATGGGTGTTTTCCTAATTGCATAAAAGGGATGTTTTCCTATTTGCTCCCTAATATTGTCCGATTATAAAAGACCCCCTACCATTGACCCATAATAAAAGACTCCCTAATATTGACCTGTTATAAAAGACTACCTAATATTGACCCGTAAAAGACCCCCTAACATTGACCCATTATAAAAGACTTACTTATATTGCCTTTTATAAAAGACCCCCTGATATTGACCCATTATAAAAGACTCCCTAATATTGTCCGATTATAAAAGACTCCCTAATATTGACCCATAATAAAAGACTCCCTTATATTGACCCGTAATATAAGACCCCCCAACATTGACCTATATAAAAAGACCCCCCCCCCCCCCCCCCTTATAAAAG